ATAATATACACAATTGTTTATACAGTAATATATATTATTTTAATATATGTTGATTAACTGAAAATTATTTTGATGAAACATTTCCATATAAATTATATTTAGATTTATTTACAAAACAAATAAAACATGTAATGACTTTGTATCATTACTGATGATTAAATTATTGTAATATTATAAATACAATTTGTTTGGTTGCATTAATGTATTATTAAAAATATACAAATTTGTTTTATTACAAAAGGTTTTATAACTATAAACAGTTTATTACAATTGCTTTTTTGTAGAAAAATTTATCGATCGTTTTCGAAGTTTTTTTTGTTCTAAAAAATTCAACTATGTGATTAAACCAATATATTATAATTGATATTTGTACCAAATCTTCTACTTGTTTTTACACAATAATGTATAAATTGTTATCGTGATTATATACTATTATATATAATTTTTATTATTTTTAATTTACTATTTAGAATAGGTTTTTTTAATGAATTTGTCAACATTTTGATATTTATTATTGTTAGAATTGGAATATGGCAACATAAAAATAAAAAATATTTACAGTATGGAGAGATAACTTTGCTTTTAGTCAAAAAATTGGTGAAATATTCAAATTATATTCAAGTTTTTTTCTATAAGTCTCTTTTAAAGAAAAAATGTTTTTATGGGAAAAAGTTAACACTAGCTCCCTGTTATAAAAAACAAAAAACTTGACAAAAAATGAATACGCCTGGTATTTGTAAATAAACAATAAAAATACAAATTTTTAATGATGTTTTTTTATTAAAGTCAGTTTTTTCTGTTTAATAATTTATATGATTTATTTCATTTTTATTATATTTGATACTATTAATACCATTATTAAAAAAACAAAATTTATGGATAATAAATGTAAGCCAACTCCACAAACGTGTTCTTGAAATTTGTTTTTCGATGTCACTTATTATGGTTTTATACGAGACACTACTTGTTATGATCATGTTTTGAACAGTTATAAACGAATATTTTTTTCTGTTTTTTATTTTTTATTTTAATATTTTGTTTTTATTACACTTGTTATTGTCCAATTTTATATCTTACTTGTTCGGGATAATGTCGTAAGTAATTTACTTTGAAACTTAAGGGGTTTAAGACAATTAAATATATTTTTACCAAACCTGTATTATATATAAAACTACACTTTTTGGAAAACGAAAAAAACGTTTTTTTGGTTTCCAAAACAATTATTGCCAAAAAATGTATTATAATGTACGAATTTATAAAAGAAAATAAATATTTTGCTTTTTAAACTGTGACGTGGGTAATTAGTGATTTAGAAAATCTTTGTAAAAATGTTTTTATCCAAATATTAATTTAAAATATCATTATTTTAAAAGTG